GTTCATAAATTAGGTTACTGTTGATCAAACATAAATACCAAACATTTTTGAAAATTTACTCGTTGACTGCACCTGATATTGAACCCTAGTGAATGCATGTTTGGGGACATTATGGTAGTTTACGGATTTTATCAAGTTTGATTCTTTTTAAACATGGTAGATAGATCCGTTTTCATCATGGAAACCGGGGTTTCGGACAACTAGTATATCATGTCCCAAACCTCAGCCACTCTGTGGCGTGACGTTAATGACGTTTAAGATTATCAAATTAACTGAATCAAAGCAGGTGGCCCGAGAGACTTCGTGTATCAACTTCGGGAATGTTTAGCTCCGCGTTATTTTCAATACCATCAATTCGTAACTACATAGCTATACGTGAGCACGGTTCACCATAGTATGCTTGCTTTGACGTCATACTCATTACAGCGCCCTCTTTCATCTGAAGTTCGTTTATATCAGTAGAGGGTGCTCCGCAAAAGTTTGGTGTTCCATGGTGTTGCTATAACAACGGCTTTTATAACTTACGGTGAATATTTCGCTTTTGCAGATTCAAAGGGTTCCAGACCAAATCACTGTCAGTAACCCACATGCGCAAACAATTGGTTTCGATAGTAACGGGAGGGTAAGTTTTAAGCATCATTCTAATAATTTCTGTGCATAAATTAGGCTTAAGGTGAAGGACGCAACATCGCTTTTAACGAAGCTTGTGCATACTAACTTTATCGCTTACACCCAGCTTTGCAAGTTTGATAATAATCCAATAACAGCATTCCCTAGATTAAATTTTGGAAAATAATAGATCCCTGCCACAGAAATCATGATATATAAACCAACTTCGGATGACGATAGGTCCCACCCACAGACAGAGGTCCCACCCACAGACAACAATAGAAAGATATCAACAACAGACAACAATAGAAAGATATCAACCACGGATAACAGCAGAAGATCCAAGCCACAGATAGACGTCCAAAGATCGCAATCTCATATACCAATAGAAAGATATCAAAGGTTGGGGCCTTTCCATTGTTATCCCAGGTTGGGATAACGTCAGAAGATCCCAGACAAAGATAGACATAGAAAGATCCCAACCTCAAATACATGCTGGTTTTTGATTGGCTGAAACACCCATGTTATAAAATCATTGGTTGTCTGTAATCTGTTAATTGGACGACAACTATCCGAGCTACAACAATCTAAATATAGACATAAATATTGTTGTTTACTGTGTTTGTTTCAGATTAATTTTAACTTTCGTCGGAGATCGGGAGCATTTCCACCGAGTAAATTCTCTACTCCAACAGCATCAGAGCACGATGTACAATCAGGTAACCTACTCAGATTATGAAATACAAACTGTAGTGCAGCAATCACTGACTGTCGTTGCCACGTCACCGAATCTAGCGTAAAAAATTCATGCTACATCGTTGTGTGTTTCTTCTCCGAATAGAATGTACGGGTACGAGCATGCACGATGGGAGTGAACAAGAAGCAGAAGAAGACGACTTTCGTGGCACGTCGAAGGTAAATGAGAGAGTAGCCAATACAGACTCATATACAGAGGTGAATATTATACTGAACTCGATCAAGTTACGACGTCGTTATTGTTTTGAACTGTGATCAGCTGTCGATAAAAAAAATGTTGTATGTGAGCTTTGTAATACATGTATTCTAAATGACTAACGATAACACAACCAAACACTATACTAGTAGTCGATTTGAACGATTTACACCCATCTACGTTATTTGTACGTCACTTAAATGTTTCGTCGCTAGATGGCGCGACTTACAGTATATGTAATTTGTGACCTGAAAACATATATCTTATTTCAGCCAAAAAGTCGAAAGAAGTTTCACAGGGAGTCGATGTCGATAGAACTACCGCCATTAGCGCTGGCTGGGTCCAAAGACAGGCACTTGCTGCTCGGTCCTACACGACAACGGAAAAGTATGTTTATGACACAGAGATCGAAAACAGAACCACAAATTATGAGGAAAAGACGGCCGTTATTGGACGACGACGATGAAGATGTTCCTTTACGTAGAGCGTATTTACAATTAGATATACTTAAGTCATGTGATATGATAGTAAGTAATCAATTCAATCTGGTTTAAACCGGTTCGTTCCAGTTCGGGATTGATTCCAACTTTGTCAGTGTCGTAGTCAGTCTGACACATGGCAAACGTGTGTCTTGCTCGTAATTGTTGGCTAAGACCATTTGACTTTTCCAGTGTACATTGTACACGTATTCTATCCCTGAATTATGTTTGTATACGTAAAGCGTGAACTATTGTCCAACGATGACCTCACTGTCTTTCATTTCTCAACAGGGTTTGAATGATCTGTCTGGACTTAGCCGTGCAAAGAAAACTGGTGTTAGTGTGGTATGTACTAAATTGAACTCGAACATAGCTTTCGATACGCATACTCGCTATGGCAACCCCTACACTTTAATAATTAAAATTCATGTATTTCACTTCGCTACAATAAGAAATAATTTAATTTCACTTTGGTAACAAAAGGTAGGAATCTATACATAACTTTATAATACAGTAGTCAGTGCCCTCTCATCATTGAGTTGATTGTATCGAAAATGACGCGATGCGAAGATCGTGGCCATTTTACCCAATCGAGGATAAAATCCATGATTTCGTTTACATTTTTTTTTTCAGTGGAGTGACGGAGCTGAAATAATCAAAGTCAACAAGAGATTCTTCCGTCAGCATGCTGGTACTGTGACTATGTTGAAACTGGAAACTATGGTACGTATTATTTATTTATAAATAATAAAAATAGAATTGGCAGTTCGTACTGTGCAATCGTATACCAATAATCGTACGTGATTAAAACATACAGTATTAATCGGTGTGACGAAGATGCACATGGCTATGGAATTTAAAAGTAGTGATTCAAATCTGACCTTTGACACTGAATGTGAATCTTTCCGTGGTTAATATTTTACAGAACAGAGATTACGTAACGGAGGAAGACGCTATGCAGAACTTAGAAGAACAAGAAACGTGGTTGCAATACAAAACCATTCTAATGAAGAAAATGTCTCTTTATCATAGTAAAAATCCAAAGACTCCGAGAAATACGCTGTCAACCTGAGCTTGAACGCACAATTACGTCATCAAATGTCCCCCATGTTCGGGATTGTTTGACTATAATTTACAATGTATCAATTACTGGTACCGAAATTTTACATATTTTTGAAACCTACAACGTTTAAAAAATCAACGGAAATCTTTTTGTCTTAATCGCAATGTACTATGGGAATAAAACATGGAATGGATTTCACCACGGCATTATACGCTAAATATTAGTATGTCTATCCGTCCAGGTGCTCACGATCCGTTCTATTGTGGCGCCCTCTTACGGCCAGCAATCCGTATTCGATTATTAAACTTCGCCAAGTACAAAACCACGCTACGCTATATCGAGTATTATCATTTACACCCGTGCATTAAAGGGACCTTCTTCAAGGTCTATATATTCAATATACTTAGATTACTTGTCTGATTTTGGATCTATGGACAGCTCACTGAATACCGAACCATCAGGGACTTCGAACGCGTGTAAGCGTGCTATTGACTCTGGAGTAGCGGGCATTTATTATGACTATAGACTGCAATCCAACATTTCAATCTTTATATTTACCATGCCGTCCACGTGTATTTCCACGAGTATATTACTTTTTATTCACTGCAATATGTTTCAGATACAATTAGAGCTCCTCGAAAATAAATATCGACGTTAGTGCCACTAGAAATACTTCATTTTATTCTTTGTTTTATGAAGTATTCGCGAACTCCAATGTCCGAACCAGTACGGTGACGATGTCTGAATCCATCATCCATGCACTGTCGTTACAAGTACCCCGGATGTAAGACCAGCATAGCACTACATCCCCTCAATGCAAGGTGTGTATACGGTGTAGTATATCCGATACACTGAATTGCACTCACAAAACCATTCCTTTGTTTCGTAAGTCTTTATTTTATTTTATTTCACGGTTCCTTCGGTCCTTTGTGGGGGGGGGGGACTGTGTTTGTATGTATAATTTTATATATGAATAAAAGACGAATTGATAATCACCGTATATCATATGCTCATTAATAAATGTATTGATATTGTACTTACTGTATACTGTAAAGGGGTTAATTATTCACTGGGTTTTAATTTGGCTTTTTTCGCTGACTGAAAAATGCGCTAAATTAAAACCCAGTGAATATGTAAAATTGAGCATAGAACACATTATCCAAATGATAAAACCGTGAATTTTAAAGCCACTAAATAAGCCTGAAACGCTAAATCAGTGAAATTTTAACCCAGTGAAAATTAGTCATTTTACAGTATTAGATTATTAAAATATTTCTTAGTTTGACCATGGAGGTAGAAAAGAGATCTTGTCTACCTCGTCCATGGTTTGACCATAGACAAACTTCTGTATGGCGCTGAGGGCGGACTTGTAAGACGTGTGTTGACTGATGACCTCCGCAGTGAACTAACATTTCTCAAATTACTCGATTAGCTTTTGTATAATGTTGCCATCAACTTGTACATAAGCATCGAAGTAAACCATTTATGGACTCCGAACCGTAATCTTAAAAAAAGCCCCAGAATAAGATCTTCTACTAGCTCTTCCAGCAGTGAGATGGCGTCCATTGGAAACGTGAGTACTGAACAGTCTGAGATAATGCAACACGTTAACGAGGAACAAATCCCTGCGCTGTCATTACCAACCAAAATCGAGAACTGGCAAAACAGATTTGTGATGTGAAAGCGGAATAAACAAATGACATATCTTCAAATAGTATGAAACTTAATTCGAACATTAACGAAGTTAATGAGTTGACGAGTCAAATTGACGACATGGACACGAATAAACAAATTATGGAATCCGAATTTGAAGCATTAAGTAGTATGCTAGACATAGAACGTTGCAATAGAATATCAGCTCAAGTCGAATTGAATAGATCATGGAAGGTATGGATAGATATAGTCGGGAAAATGATGTTATTATCATTCACGGCATCAAATATGAAGTGAGCGAAGACATATAAATGAAAACTTGAAAGATGTAATCTGAGGCGTTGAAATTGCCACCAGTAATATTCAGCAAAGTCCACCGCTTAAATAAATCGTCCACATCCACCAGTAATTATTTGATGCTTTTTCTTAATGATTGAGATGAAATTCTCGGCCGTGGCGATTTATTGAAAGAAATAAAGTTAATTGTACACGAACATATACCTAAACTGATGCCGGCCTACTATCCGTGTACAGATTCGAGTTCCAGCAAGAGATTCCCGCGCCTTGTGGGTAGCAAGATTAGTAAGCGTATTGAAGCTGTTATTTTGTTGTTGAATTCCAGGTGCGGTCAATTGGCCATAATCTATGTTTAAACTTTGTTTGGTTTTGTTTGGTTTATAATATCGTTTAGAGGGTCTATGGTTTATCGTGCCATATTTTTTTTTATTCTATGACAATATTGCGCTGGACTGAATGCTTTGGAGTGCCTGTACTTCACACATACCACTTCATATTCAAGGAGAGTGTTTCTTTGCGAATACGCCACTATTTTTGGCACTGTATTCTTTAAAAACGTCACGTTCAGCTGCAGTAGAAATGTGAGCACCCCTGTTAGTTATCAATCTTGCCATCGCCCCCCCCCTCCCCTGAACATGACAATTCTTTTACAGATATGTAATTTATACACGTGTTTCTTAATTTGTGCTGATCTATTCTATTATTAGCAATGGGTATATATTTGATCTTTTTATTGTCGCAACAAGTTTTACAAAACCACATATCATGATAATGTGGGTACATTTCATTTTACACCGTGTTGTCGTGATTGCCGGGTCTGATAACATTGAAATGGTGTCATATAATTGCAATGGATTAGCGATTAATCAAAAACGACGGGAAATATTCACCTGGTTACGTGATAAATCATGATGTAGTATATATTGTTTACAAGAAAACCCACTCTATTATTAATAATGGGCATATGTGGGAAAATGACTGGGATAGCGATATCATTTTTAATCATGGTACTAGCAATCAGCGTGGTGTAGCCATGCATATAAAAGTGTTGTTCATATGTAGTTCACAGCAGTAGAAATTATTCAAATGGTAGGTAGATTATGGTGGACATTACTGTTGAATACTTACGTTTGATTTCACGCTCGGAGTGATCATACTGCCGTTTTTTTTATTGATAATGTGAATGTGTAAGGATTTTGCGATCAGTCGCTGAAAGTGATTTTTTGTTGAGATTTCAATACAACATTGAATTAGGTCATGGGTCAAGCAGGGAATATTACACGCAGTTATAATCCAAGATGACGGGAATGTATTCTCATACTATTATAATCGCTAGATATTCATGACATTTGGCGCTTGCGTAATCAGTTGACTCGACGTTACACCTGGAGAAGAGGTAGGCAAGCAAGTAGAATAGATTACATATTGATTCTTTTATCATTTGTGTCACGGGTCAGACTATTGGTGAAAGTTACCCTTCTGATAATCAAGGTTAGAATTGAAACTAATGCCCACCCCCGCGGCAAGGGATGTTCTCATTTAAATGATCGTGAGTTTGTCAACACCGCCAAGCAATTTATTACAGACATTTCGAGATAAATGAAGGGTCAGCTAATCCACATAATGTCTGATGAGTGCATTCAAATGTTCTTACAGAGGTTACTGTGTACAGTATAGTTCTATGCACGGTTACTAGAACTAGTAACCTAGTTCTATGCGACTTAAAAAGTATATAAAAAAGAACATACTTATTAAAGACATAAATAAATTGCGTGGCATCTTAGCCAAATGTCTTTCATTACGGGTAAAAGGGGGATTTCTAGAATAATCCATGAAGATCATACGGGGTTTATTTATGGGAAATTCATGATAAGTATGATAAGGGCGGTCTGAATTTAACCGGTTTTTAACGATCCTCTAAAAGCTGCTTGGATACCAAGGCTTTTTCGTGAGAAAAGTTCTTTCTGCAGTAAATTTTCTAACTCTTTATTAGTGACCTTTGGTGGTTTTATGTATCAAACCTTAAAGAGAAGGGCCATACAATATTGGACCTTTGTATTCTAATTTCTTAAAACCCCAAACAACTAATAAAGTTATTAGTTGTCTGAGTTAAAACTCTGTGTTGAATCAAAACCTACGATGGAGCGTGTCTGTCAGGAAATCATGATATTAGAATCAAATTATATTATCCGCATACAAATAATATACCAATTGTTTCATTGAGCATGGTTATGTTTTTATTAATGACCTTCTTGGTGAGAACTGTAATTTTCTAGCATTTGAACAGTTTATTTTACAATATGGGGATGTATGTACCCGATATAAATTCTCTCAGTTAAAACCTGCCATTCCCTCAAACTAGTTAGAGGCGACTGGGTTCTAAGAATTGATTAACAAAAAAACAAAAAATCGACATATTCAAACTAAAATACAAATAAATATTATATAAAAGGTCATAAAAAAAGTAATATTAATATACAAAAAAAAAACATTTCATTATAGTTTACGATACTCGTTTTTGACATTATTAATCATTCAAACAGAACGTTGTAAATGGGTATTATTCATATCGATACTTTCGTCTTTGTCACATGAGCTGATTTATAGAACATTACATACTAGTATTTGATATAATGCCTATGATAATTAAAAAAAAAAACTTTTGTATACATACCCAAGTATATGCTACATGCGCAGTCATGTCGTTTGAAGCAAATGTAAAGTATCCCAGTTGAATTATATCAGTGACGTCACTGGTTACATGTTAATCCCATCAGCCTGTGATGTAAATTTTACGAAATCTATATCGCGAGAGGGCGCCATATATCCCGATTATGCCCTTTTTTGTCGCACGAACGAGCTGTCGGTACTATACGTTCTTACAGTACCTACAATTTCCTCAATTACACGTATATTGAAAGTCGCCAATACTTATGTCGTTATGGTAACCCGTTAAGTTACCTACCATGACGTTCCTAGTTACAAACAATATACAAGAAGCTTAAGCAAGCAACAAGCAATACGTGATGGCGCGGAATATTAGTATAAATTTATTATCACGCCAACGATTTCTCAGTGAAGTTCAGTTTTAATCTATTTTCGAAAAATAGCTATTCCTAACCTAATGGAACATTTGTATTTATTTTAGCATTAGCGGAAATCTAAGGTAGACCAAAACATGTGGAATATACACTAGCAGATGTGTTTCTATGGTTTCCACGCTATGTACATTCAGTTGTCGACAACTTATGCGCACATCATTTGATCAAAGTTAGTTATAGTCTTTTGCTTGATATCGTAGGACAACAATTGTTTATTTTATTTAGTATTCAACGGGGCCAGTATTCTTTTTGTTTTTCATTCAGAGATCGACACAAATATTCATAGCGTCCCGAAAGACAATATAAAGAGAATGACCAAGAATTACAGTTTATAAGCTAGGCTTTATCGCTGAGGGCGCTTATCATTTACACTCACAACCGCAACATTGTTTCAAAGATGTTCAGAAATTAGTTTGAAAAAGTAATATTACTATTTTTCCCTAAACACATATTTTTTTCACTATAAATATGAACAAATGTTCATTGCATATTAGAAACCATAAAAACCCATAATCAAACAGAAAATCCAGATTTTCTAAACATAATTTTGCAAATACCAAAAAAAAAATTATTTAGTTCTGCTAATAAAAAAAAGCTAAAGAAAGAAAGAAAATAGGCAAAAAGAGGCAGTCATGAAACCTGTCTAATATTCGGGGTTCAGGAACGCCTAAATGATGAAAATTGCATGTTACATTTCTTGTAAATGATTTATCATTTATCACAAATTCAAATGTATATGGTATTGTTGTTGAACAATTATTTCATTTGATTTGCATTGATGGTAATTCTTGTATAATCATTGCACATTGTCGGGTAAAGTCTTCTTGACCTATCGATCTTTAAGGGCTTATGCTTTGACGAACTGGCATATCAACAGAAAACAATCAATGAATAATTTGTCTGATAGACTTAATTTATTGAGGATACCTTAGTAGTCATAGA